ATAACATTTCGTTCAGTTGTGAAAAACATTTATCTGCAACAATAAAAATGAATCTTAGAATATATTCCGATCGACAGTATTTGCTGACAACTACGAGATTGTACTCAGTAGCGCCAGTGAAATCCTATGGATATGGATATACAGATGAGATGGATGTACAGATGAAATCATAATTAACTAATGATATCTTAAATTATACAGTTCGGACGAATTCATATGACACTCAAAATATTCGTTGATTTATTCATCATACAGATGCGCCTGAATATTCCATTTGATATATACATCGCTCGCGCTTTCGTAAAATGACTTCGGAAACTTCAGTATAGAAAGAATTGAGATTGAAACCGTCCATTGATTTGAAATTTCTTTGTAGATGTCTCATATATTCTTCTCGATTCTATTTCTGACACTGTCGATTGCTGTCAGCGATGTATCCCTGTCAGCTAAAGCCCTTCATTCGAGAGCTGCAAGATGTACGTATGACAGGTTGTTCTTGAAGGCGATTTACAATTTTTGCTGGAAACCAAAAAAATCCATCCAAATCAAGTGTGTCTACATAAAAAACACCAATACGTTTTCAGATTCTCAGTACGGCTTGAAATCACTTCAAGTAGAGCGAAAGCGATCCAACAGATCAAAAGGAATCAGTTTCGGACAGGTGATCGAGTGTCACTTTCTTCGGCTACCCACTTTTATCAGTCAATAGGCAGCATATTCAGGAATGACTAACCGAAATTCTGATGTCTAACTCAAGATGTAGGAATTGTCAGAATGCAAAGTGAACACTTGAATGGTTTGCAGTTACTAACATTCACAAGTGGTCTACTACCGTTCGATATCGCCGAGAAAAGTTTTACATTGGCTGACAGAAATGGGGATGGTCTTCTGAACGAATATGGTATCAGTTCAGTTCTAAAATTTCACAATAAAGATGAGCATTTTCGGGAACTATTTCATTCATCCATATGTAAACGTATGGAAAAAGTGAATGAAATAGTTACCGCTTCGTTCTGCAGTGACGAAAATCTTCAGTAGTTTTGATGCTGAGTATTTGTTGAATTCAGAGACACAGCAGGCGTCCAAAATCGGCAATGAACTCACCCGAAATCGACTTCAGGAGGTTATCACTGAAGCGGACAAAAGCGCCGACGGTCTTATAGAATTGAACCGAGCCAAGATGTTGGCTCAACGACTCGGTAGTCTGAGTGTTCAAAACGATTCAATGGCGACAGCCGATCGAAATGATCTCAAATCTAATGGTAGTCTTTTCGTGATTTCTATTTTCTTGTTGCAGTCTCTTTTCTTGGTTTTTTTTTGTAGCATCAAGTAACCGCTGATTGAAGAACTGTAATATTGGAAATCCAAATGCTGCCAGCGATAACCGATACAAACCACCAATATTTTCAAATGCAATTTGCTACTAGTATCCAAATGCTTCGAAGAGAAAACTGGATCCTATTTGAAGCAAAATATGCTCATAGTTGTGTGTATTTGAGATATTGAACGAGTGCTGAACACGAATTCGAACCGTCGGTCACTAGACTCCATTTTCGGACACTTCGACGAAGAGTCAGACGGCAGTTGGAATCGAGATGAGATCGAAAAATTCTTGCATGTGATGTGCATCGATAAGAAGCAATGGTTGAGGGCGCTCAAAGATGCGCATTTTGACAATAATACTCTTTGCGAGCTGACAATTGATGGTAGGTATGCATTTAACCGAATGGTGTTTAACCGAATTAAAACAAAGTAATTCCAGAGGAGAACACCGAATGCAAATCTGCATTCGATGTTCTCCTCTGAAATTACTTTGTTTTAATTCAAACCCGAAAATTCAATGAACTCTGAATGAAAAACAATTCCAAAATTTCCCAAGCTGATTGATGTTTTTGTTAATATATTTTGAAATGTTGAAAACTATCACTCGCTGCTTGGCAAAAATTTGAAATTCGCGTGAAGTTCCTCGGAAACTTCCAACTATCAATAATACTAATTTACATTGGCTTGTTCACTAGCAAAGAGAAAACAGTTACACCTGTTAATCTTCAACATTTGGTAACAGATAAAAATTGAGAAGTGAATTCAAGCATTAGTTTAGAAATATTTCCAATAGCATCGCTTCGGAAATGTTTTTGAAAGACTGAAAATCTCGAAAGGTAGGCCATAAGGAGATTCATTTCATGATGCTCATCTAATGTTCACAGTTGATCTTTGCAGATTTACAACGTATATTGCAAGAGTACGATCCAGAACGACAATTCTTTACTTGATATGCATTCCGCTCCATAGGAAACAGACGAAATCAACGAAATGAGTCCATTATCTCATCAAATGTATATAAATATTGTCGAGTATAACACGAGAATGTCTTAGCAACGTTTGTTGTCATTCTCAATTTCGAATATCTAATGAAGGCATCAAAAATTGTAAATAAACAGTATGTTTCAGAAGAAGTCATGTTTTGTTGAGGACTTTCGATACGATAACTCGGGTTCTTTATCATTTATTGCGATGCCATGATCGTTTGACTTTAATAATGCTGTGTAACTGTTGTTATTGCCAATGCATTTATGGATAAATTATTGATCATGATAAGGAATAAAGTGCCAATAAAATATCCACCATAATAATCAGTCCTTGTTTAGTATGTTTTTGATCCATCGATTATCACTGACAGTGAGAGTTAAGCGTGCGATTCATTGAAATAATTCATCTGCAGAGCTTCTGAGGAAACGGCGAAGTCAATAAGGAAAACGCTAAATTTCCGTCATCGACTTCGAAGAAGTCTCATTCATATTCGCAGATCAGGAATGTGAATTGCACACAACATTCACAAGCAATTGAACTTATCGCATCGATGAATCTCAAAATGTTCATCAGATTAAATTAATGAATATCTCATGTAGTTAGTTCATTTCCCATTGATGAAATTCGCACAAAAACAACGAATACTGTCAACAAAAAACGAAATTTCGCTCGCAATCGCACGGCGCAAAACATGTTTCGTTTCACAAAATCTCCATTTCATCCACGGAAATCTTCATTCGATGCTGACCCTTGTTTAACCCCACATTGTTTTGTGAATTCACTGAGTGATGTGAAAACTTGTTTGTTTGTATTTCGATTGCTGAAGTGTCACTACGAGTTGACTCAGCCAATCCATATTGATCAGGTTGATTTCATTTGTGAGGCTGATTCCTAAAGTGATTCAGATTGCT